GCCCCTGTGGGGAGTGGGGGGCTGTCCCCGAGTCCAGTACCGTCACCATCCCTGTGGGGTGTCCCTGTGGGGAGTGGGGGGCTGTCACCATCCCTGTGCGGTGTGGCGGGGACTGTCCCCGAGTCCAGTACTGCCATCGTCCCTGTGGGGTATCCCTGAGTCCAGTACTGTCACCGTCCCTGTGGGGTGTCCCTGTGGGGAGGGGGGCTCTCCGAGTGTACTGTCACTGACCCTGTGGGGTGCCCCTTTGGCGAGTGGGGGGTTATCATGTGGGGCATGGAGGCGACTGTCCCCCAGTGCGGTGCTGTCACCGCTCCTGTAGGGTGTGGGGGCTGTCCTTGAGTCCCGTGTGTCACCACCCTCTGTGGATGCGGGGGCTGCCCCCCTGTACACAATGTAAAGTTGGGTGGTTGTATGGTCCTTTGTGGAGAACATACTCTTCACTAGGAAAGTTGAGCACGGTTTGGGAATTTGGGGAGTTAAGCAGGGTTTAGGAATTTGGGAAGAGCATCCAGCGTTAAGAAGGTAAGCCCCACATGCGCATGAATAAAGTTGTTCTTGGCTTGAAGTTTTAAGAACCCTAGTAGCACTGATGCTATTTGGCGTAGGTGTTTGTTAGAAGAAGCTTTAAATATACTTTTTGACGTAAGTAGAACAAGATGAAAATCTGTTGAAATCCTTGGAGAGGAATGTTAGAATTTCAAATATATTACATGTCGTGGGTTTTTAAAAAAATTTTTTTAGTATTTGTTAATTTTTGATAGAAAGAGAATCTCAAGCAGGCTGGGAGCTCTCAGCTCGACGCCCAGGAACTGTGAGATCATGACCCGAGCGGAAGTCCGATCCTTAACCCACCAGCCCCCCAGGAGCCCTAAATCAGTTGCGTGTTAATATCTTGTTTGTTTTCAGATGTAGTGGCCTATGTTGAAGTCTGGTCAGTAAACGGAACAGAAAATTATTCAAAGACATTTACAAACCAACTTGTGGACATGGGAGCAAAGGTGAGAAAGTCATTTTCCCCCGGCTGCGCGTGGCAGTCCTCTTTACATGATAGAAATACTTGGATTTTCTTGTTTTTGGGAGTTACTGCTTAGAACATGAAGGAAGAAGGACAAAGGCAGTGGGTAGGTGGCAGGTGGGCCACGTTGCATGATGGGACCACATTATAACAGTGAGATTACAGAACAGTTGGTTTTGTGGGTGGTGAGAGGAGACTCTAGGATAGACACGGGGCTTCTGCCATTGGTTAATTGGATGCAGGATGTTGTTGGCCGAAGTGAGAAATATAGGAGGAGGAAGAAATCTTTTAAGGGAAAGATTGCGAATTTGGGCCTATTGAAAACATCTGACGGACATTTGGATCCACACATAGGGAATTTGAGATAGTTAAGGCTAGAGGTGACATTTTAGGGGCAAGACCCTGTGGGCCAGGTGTCATGGCTCAGGTGTTTAGGATGAAAGGTGCTGAGAGTGGAGCCTATTTAGTGTGTGGAGGACAGGTGATGGGAGCCCTGGACCCAGGGACGAAAGGAGAATGCCGGGAGATTCTGGAAAATCTGGAAAACAAGTCTGCACGTCAGAAGAGGGATGAACTTCAAAGATGGAACTGTAAAACCATTAACTTGGTGAGAAGATCGTTGAAGGCAGGGCCAGAGTTTAGGTGAGGCAAGAGAGGCACCCAGGGTGTAAAACCCAGGGTGGCATTCACCTACGGGCAGAGAGGGTGCTTCTAAATTTTGTTGTCTTAGTCCCTTCCTTGATGGAGAGATCAAAGGCTTTGTTTTGATACCTGCTGCATACTTGGGCTAAAACAAATTACACTGGCTGAGAAAAAGGCCGTGGAGTGTGGGAGCTGACAAAATGGCCTTTAATCGTAGTATTAAGGGGTGCCTGGGTGGCTCAGACGGTTGAGCGTCCGACTTCAGCTCAGGTCTTGATCTTGTGGATTGTGAGTTCGAGCCCGCGTGAGGCTCTGTCCTGACAGCTCGGAGTCTGGAGGCTGCTTTGGATTCTGTGTCTACCCCTCTCTCTCTGGCCCTCCCCTGCTCATACTCTGTCTCTCTCAAAAGTGATAAACTTAAAAAAAATAAAAAAAGAGTAGTATTAAGATCTTAGATCTCCTTGGATCTTTTTCTTTTTCTCTTTTTTTTTCTTTAAGGTTGTTTACTTTTGAGAGAGTGAGAGGGAGCAGGGGAAGGGCAGAGAGAGGGAGAGAATCACCACGCTGTTGGTGCAGAGCCTGACGCGGACCTTGAGATCATAACGTGAGCCGAGACCAAGAGTCAGATGCTTAACTGGCTGAGCCCCGCCAGGCGCCCCTGTTTCTCACCTTTTAATTGAGAAAATTTTCAGATAGAAAAGTTGAACAGAGTGACTCAATAATTGTTTTTTTTTTAATTTTTTTTAACGTTTATTTATTTTTGAGACAGAGAGAGAGAATGAATGGGGGAGGGACAGAAAGAGAGGGAGACACAGAATTGGAAGCAGGCTCCAGGCTCTGAGCCATCAGCCCAGAGCCCAACGTGGGGCTTGAACTCACGGACGGTGAGATCGTGACCTGAGCTGAAGTCAGACGCTCAACCGACTGAGCCCCCCAGGCACCCTGACTCAATAATTAACATCTTAACATACTTGTTGCGTCATCGTTTCTTCTATGCAGTATATTTATGTGTGAAAGTGTTTTTTCCTAAACTGTTTGAAAGTAAGTCCCAGATAACATTTGCCCCCAAACAGGTTCAGTATGTATCCTCTGGAAACAAGCAGTTTTCCTGTGTGATAGGCCATTTTCACATCTGAGGGAGAGAGCGATGGTTCCGACTTGACACCTGTTACTTCTAGCAGCGTTCGAGAGCCCCACTGCCAACTGTACTTGGTTTTGTCTTTCCTGTCCGCATCTGGTGCGTGTCTGGTGGTATATCATCATGGCTTGAAATTCTTTCTGCATGTTTTCGTATATTTATTTTGAGTCTGTCCAGGGCTCCAGCTCTTAATTTCCATTGGGTTTTTCCTTCTTGATTTGTAAGCATTCTTTCTATTTTTCAGTTGACCAGAATCTTTTCTGGCCATAGGAATTGCAAGATTTTCAGTTAACTCTGTGGTTTGTCTTTTCATCTTCTCTATGGTATCTTTTGTCGATAATTGTAACCCAGATTATTTCTTTGTGGTGAGCTTTGTTGTGTGGGTCTTGTTTAAAAAAACACAACTGTCTGTGCCTATACCAAGGTTATGAAGATTTCTCCTGTGTTATTTTCTGAAAGCCTTATTTTGCCTTTTATATCTAGATTTACGGCGCATCTGGAATTGGTGTTTATACATGGTATGAAATAGTTGTTTCATTTTTTTCCATGTGAATATTCTTTTATCTTAGCACCATTCATTGACAAATCTCCTTTAACTGGTCTCCAAAGTAATACCTTTGTCATCAGTCAGTTCACCATATGTTTCTGTATCTGTGTATCTGTTCTCATGACAAACCAGTCTTAAGTGTTCTTTATAATGAAACTTCAGAAGTCTTTCTTTTTTTTCCTTCCAAGGTGTCCTGGCTGTTCTTTGACTTTTGCTTTTCCAAATATATAAGAAGTTTATCAGTGTACAGCATAAAGCTTTTAAAAATTTTTGAATGGGATTAGGATTGATAAAAATAGACCAGTATGGAGAGAACTGACATTTTTATGAAATTGAATTTTCCAGCCCACGAACCTGTATGCCTTTGTTGATTTTGGTTTAATTTCTGTAAGTAATGTTTTATAGTTTTCTCTGGGCAGTTTTGATGCTATTATAAATGGCATCTTCTGGGGCACCTGAGTGGTTCAGTCGGTTAAGTGTCTTACTTCAGCTCAGGTCATGTTCTCACAGTCCGTGAGTTCGAGCTCCATGTCGGGCTCTGTGCTGACAGCTCAGAGCCTGTAGCTTGTTTCAGATTCTGTGTCTCCCTTTCTCTCTGACCTTCCCCCATTCATGCTCTGTCTCTCTCTGTCTCAAAAATAAATAAACGCTAAAAAAAATTTTTTTAAAATAAATAAATGGCATCTTCTAAATTCCTTTTTCTGTTACTTGTATATAGAAATAGTTAATTTTTGCATATCTGCCTTGTGTCCAGAAGACTTAACAAAATCATTTATGAGATAGGGCTTTTTTAGGATTTTAAAAAAGTACACAATTGAATTTTATTTCTATTTTTGAATTTTATTTCTAATTTTATTTCTAATTTTGAATTTTATTTCTGTTTTTATTTCTATTTTTTTCTAATTTTATTTCTATTTTTCTAATCCTCATACCTTTTATTTCTTTTTTCTTGATGTACTGCACTGGTGAGGACCAGTGTTGAATAGAGTGCATATATCAGGCATCTGTCTGGTTCCTCTACTCAAGGGAAAACTTGAAATATTCACCTAATGCAGTTTTTTTTTTCTTTTTACATTTTAAGACTAACTTTAATCTCGAAATCACATATCCATATACCTGTTTCCTTTTTTGTTGATTTCTCTTAAATGCATGTTTTGTCAAAGATTGTAAACAAATATTTACCATGTCTGTTACACGTAACACACAGGAATGGCTTTTAACAGATACCCATCGGCTTCCCCCACAACATTGTTTTATTATAAATACAGGTATCAAAACAATCCTGAACATATTTTTGATACTACTAGTGGTCAGCACCGACACCGCTTCAAAAATTAACACAATTTGTGATGAGATTCATTGTACCTGCTACTTTAGACAATTTCAACTTGAATCTCTTTCACTAAGATGGATAAAGTATGCCATTTCTGTTTTTCCTTTTTGAGATTTTTTTACTTTTCAGAAACACATGCTTCCACAGCATCTGATTCTCCATGCTTTCATCTTGTAAACCTGAATTCTGAGTACTCCAGGTTTATGGTTAAATGACAGTGCCTTAACAAGAGAAAAAAAAATGGTGCCGCATTTTTCCTCCTGTAAGCTGAAAATATAATGGTGTACATATATTAAATATATTCTCACAAATTTCCAGGTCATGTTTACCAACTGGAATTCTTTTACTTAATGTGTGGGTATTTTGCATTGTCAGTTAACATGAGTAGAAGGTTGTTGATTTAAGACAAGTTTGAGATCCACTAAAATTAATTGTGTTATGTCCTTCTGGTGGCTGTGGAAGCTTCACATTTTCTTTGGACATCGTGAGACGTCTTAGCTCTTGAAGTACAACTTTAATGCTATATGAATTTTGCCATTTTGCTGACACTGGTATACTCCATGCACCCACCATTCTACTGGAATTATTAATTCCATTCATATTAATTTTGGTTACAAATCTAACTGATGGAGGAGCTTCTCGGTATTTAGGTCCACATTGTGCTTTCAAGCTATATATTGTTTTTGTCCATGGTGGTCCAATAATCATGCCTTCCCACCTTAGAGGTGTCATATCTTCATCGTCTTCAAGGCCCCAGCTAACCATACCATCGCCTACTCCTTTTTGTCCTTCTTCAAGTTCTTCCAACAAGCGAAAATTACGAGGAGGAACTTTAACTCCTGTGGAGGCCACCATTTTCTCCTGTAGCCCCACCTAATGCAATTTTTTTTAATTGGAGTGTAGTTGACATACAATATTATATTAGCTTCAGGTTTATAACATAGAATTCCACACACATATATTATGAAATGATCACCAGGGTAAATCCAGCTACCATCTGGCACCAAAGTTATTACAGTACTATTGACTGTATTCCCTATGGTGTACTTTTCATCTCCATGACTTATTTTGTAACTGGAAGTTTATACCTTCACATATTTTGCCCATTTCCTCACCCCTCTATCCTCTGGTACCCACCAGTTCTCTGTATTTATGAGTCTGTTTTGTTTTTTAGATTACATATATAAGACCTATTGTATGCCTAATGCAGTTTTTTTTTATTTTTATTTTTTTTTTCAACGTTTATTTATTTTTGGGACAGAGAGAGACAGAGCATGAACGGGGGAGGGGCAGAGAGAGAGGGAGACACAGAATCGGAAACAGGCTGCAGGCTCTGAGCCATCAGCCCAGAGCCCGACGCGGGGCTCGAACTCACGGACCGCGAGATCGTGACCTGGCTGAAGTCGGACGCTTAACCTACTGCGCCACCCAGGCGTCCCTAATGCAGTTTTTTTTTTAACATCAGGTCCTAACTTGCTAAGAGTTTTCTTCATGAATCCACTTTCTGATTTCATCAAATGTGTTTCCTGCATGTAGTGAGATGATCTTAAGATTTTTACTTTGTTAACGTAGTGAATAACCATTTATTTCAATGTTAACCAACTTCGTAGTCATGGAATAAACTCAAGGGGTGGGGTTGTATTATCCTTTCTGTATAATTGTTGGTACAGTTTGCTTTCTTTTTCTTTTTTGCAAATATTCAGGGAGTGATACTGGCTAGTCATTTTCTGTTCCTGTGGTTTAGTACTAGTGTGCTGGTTTTATAAAACAAGTTGCAGAATTGTGACTCTTTTTTATTCTAAGTTGGTATGGTTTGGTATTAATTATTTTTAAAATTTTTGGTATAATTTGCTGGTGAAGCCAACTAGTCCTGGCGTTTTCTTTGTAGATTTTTAAAAAAACTTTCTGTTACAGTTTTTAATTTGTTTGAAAACAGGATTATGCATTTTTTCTGTTCTTATAAGTGATTTTAGAAAGCTATTTTTTTCTTAGAAATGTATCCATTTTATCTAAATTTTTCAAATTTATTGGATCAAAGCTATTCATAATATTCTGTTTGAATCTTTTAATGTCTTCATGATCTATAGTGATACCTTCTTCATACTGATAGTGGTTATTTGTGCCTTCTCTCTTATTTTCCTTATAACGTTTATCTGGGTTTTACTGACTTTATTAGTTTCTCCAAAGAACCAACTATTGGTGTTCTTGATCCTCCTTTTCATTTGTATTAATTCTGCCCTTATTTTTATAATCACCTAACTCAGTCTTTGGTTTTAATTAGTTGCTCTTTTTCCAGCTTTTTCAGATGGGTGCATTGATATTCAACCTTCTTTTTATATATGCATTTTTTTTAAGACATTGTTAAATTAACATTTGTTAAGTGGAACTCAAGGTGCTGAATGGTGAACACAGTTCAACAACAAGCCATAGAGAAACTGAAACGGTTTATTATTAACAGGTCCTGGGGGAGGTACCTGACATACCTGGAGGGGCCACATGGGGAGGTCAGGGCAGGGTGCAGCCAGAGAGAAGGCAGGGCTCAAGGATGGATGCTTTGGGCTTCCTAGGCTGGGGATGGATTAGTCAATTCACATCAAAGAGTAAGGTTTTGGTAGCTCCATGGGATCTTATTTAAGGTGTACACAAGGGGAAGGACCTTGGAGGTGAAGGAGATGGTTGGTCACAAGGTTCCCCTGGGGAACTGACATTTGCTTGTGACTGTGGGGGCTATCTAGGGTGTGTGCTTGCGTGAGGGGTTAGTGCTGGTTTAAGACCCCTGCAGGCTGCTTGGCCAAACAAAATGGATGCCACGGCAGCAGTACCCTGGAGTAGCTTAGCTAAAGTCTCCACAGCATTGTACTTCTCCATTTCTCCTGAAGCTGGGCTTTCCCTGTGTTCCACAAGGCTTTGCTGGGTAAGTTGCAGCATCAAGGTCTGCTTTTCTGTTTTATCTAGTGGTTTATGTTCTCACTTCATCTCTAAATAAGCTTGATATTTTGTTTGTTGTTGGGCATTTTTTTGTTTTGCTTTTGTTTTTTAGTTGAGTATTGTATATATTTAAAATTGTTCAGCATTAGTTTGAGACCTAGAATTCTTTTTTCTTTTTTCAAAATAGATTCACGTTTGCTTCAGTCATGATGTTTTTAGTGCTCATAATCCAGGATTATCTTAATCCAGTTGCAGGATTGGAGATTATTTAAAACTGGACTGTAGACCTGTGTGGGTCCCTGTAGGTGTGGTTCACCCTTGCTTCTGTATCAGCCCTTTGGGGTCTCCATCCAAGATGTGAGGGCTTTGCCAGATTCCCTTTTCCCATTCTGAGGCCGGCAGTCCAATTTTTGTCCCCCTTGTCCTCAGAGGCATTTAGAAGTGCTATGCAGTGTTTGCTAAATTTGACAAAGCCCTAGGAAAAGAATAACCCAGAATGCTAAACTCTTCTGATTGTGTCCATCTGTACCTAGAATCTTGGCTCAGTAATAATCCCTCACTGCCTCAACAGCTCTCCATGGCCTTCTGGTAGGTAGATAGACAGATGTGTTTGTGTATTTTATCAAAACAATACATACATGTTGCTTAAAAGGGCCATTGTGCAGTGCCGTGAAGTTCATAGTAAAAACAAAGAGAAACCAACAATCCTTTGGTCTACACTTATCATTCTGTTTTATTAAGGCAGCCTTTTTCAGATCAGTTTTATGTTTCTTTTGATATTTACCTTTATATTTCCCAACAGTGTGCATATATTATCTTGATAAAATTAACTGTTGTTGAAAGAATTATGTATTGGATGACTTCTATTTCTGGAAAGATTACATAGAAGAGGAAAATTCTTTGACCCTATGAGTTTGAACATGCCTTTATTTTACCTTTCTTTACCTTTGATTGATATTTTAGCTGATTGTGAATTGCTAGGTGTATATTATTTTTCCTTGAAGGCACTTTTCCATTGTTTCTGACTTCCAGATTGCTTTTGGGAAACTTGATGCCATTGTCGTGTCTCACTGTTGAGTGTGATTTATCCCCACCTTCACCTTTAAAGAATATTAAATCTTTGTTTACTCCGGCTCTACTAAAATGTCACGATAATATGCTCAGTGTGGCACTGCTTTCATTCTCATGATGGGCCCTTAGGGATCCTTTTGATCTAGAATCCATGCCCTTTCATTTGAGAAGTTTTTCTTGGATTATTTCTTTACTGATTTCTTTTCCATTTTCTCTATTCTTGTATTTCTTCAACTATTCTTACTTAGCTCCTCATTCTCCTGGTCTGAGCTGATGTTATTACTTATCTTCTATTGCATCCATCTCCTTGTCTTTTTGTTGTCCTTCAGGGGAGAGTTTCTCAAGTATATTATTGTCCAGCGTTTCTATAGGCATTTTTTTTTTTTTTAACTTATGGCATGATATTGTTAATTTCCAAGAGCTCTTTAGTTTTCTGATCCCTTTAAAAAAATATTTTCCCCATCTTAGAGATAATTTTTCATGAGCACAATATCTTCTGAAGATTTAAATGAATGTTATTTCCTTCCAAATATGTTAAATAAGTGTTTTAATTTCATAAGTATTCTCCTTATTGTCTGTTTCCTGTGAATTTCATTTTGTTTATGTCTTTGGTGTAGAAAGCTTATCTTAAATGTCCTTAATTATCTGACTCGGCTCCCATGCTCTCTACTGAAAACGCGTTGCCAACTCTAACTCTTCACGTCAAAGGTTTTTTGAGAGGGAGTAGAGATAAACACATGCATAACACACCATCCTAACTGGAGCAGATAGGTTTTTTAAGTGGCTTGGTGCATTTGTTAGAGTAGTTTTGTGTGACAGATTCTGAGAAATGGAATTGCTGGGGTGGGCAGTTTAGATGTTTTCCTTTTGACAAATATTGAATAAAGTGTCCTTTTTGATCAACTTTACTTATCCAATTGTTCATAAGTGGTAATTTACATTTTGTTTTCTGCCTTTTGTCTACAGGTTTCAAAAACTTTTAACAAACAAGTAACTCATGTGGTGTTCAAAGATGGATACCAGAGCACTTGGGACAAAGCGCAGAAGAGAGGGGTGAAGCTTGTCTCGGTGCTCTGGGTCGAAAAGTGAGTTTATTTTTTCTCTGTATTTTTTCTCTGTATTGGGTATCGGTCAGGTGTGGAGATAGTTCACATACATCACAGAACCAGATAAAATTTGATTTGGTCTTTTCTCTTGCCTTACTTGGGCAAGTCATTTAATACCCTCAAGCCTCCATTTCAGCAGCTGAAAATGGATGCGGTAGAATCCACAGCCCTGCCTACGGGGAAGGTGACTGCGCAGGCCCTGGGACACGCATACCTGGTGTTCCGAGGAGACAAGGGCGTGCATGTGGTGCGGCCAGGGCTGCCAGACTGAAGTACCGCACACGAGGCCTACACAACCGATGTTCTTTTCTCACTGTCCTGGGGGTTAGAAGCCGAGGTCAAAGTGTTGGCGGGACTGCTTCCTCCTGAGGCCGCTCTCCTTGGTTTGCTGATGGCTGTCTTCTCTCTGTCTGTGTCCTCTGGTGTGTGTGTGTGTGTGTGTGTGTGTGCATGCGTCTGTCCATCCGTCCGTCCTAATCTCCTCTTCTTCTAAGGACCCCAGTTGTATTGGATTAGGGCCCACCCTAGTGATCTCATTTAACCTTAATTGTCTCTTTAAAGGCAGTATCTCCAACTATACTTGACACTTGGGGAAAAAAGTATTTGAACTGTGCAGGTCCACCTCTACATGAATTGTTTTTTCAATAAAATCAACATTTTTCGGAGATTTGCAACAATTTGAAAAAACTCACAGATAAACTGCAGCCTTAAAATACTGATGAAAATTAAGAAATTAGGTATTATTTTAAGAATACAGTATATAATACATATAACACTACAAAATAAGTGTTAATTGCTTGTTATCAGTAAGGCTTCTGTTCAACAGTAGGTTATTAGTAGTTAAGTTTTGGGGGAGTCAAAAGTTACACATGGATTTTTGATTGCACAGTGAGGGGTTGGTGCCCCTAACCCCCATGTAGTTCAAGAGGCAACTGTACAGTTACATTCTGATGTACTTGGGGTTGAGACTTCATATGAATTTTGTGGGGAACGTAGTTGAGCCCGTGACAGGTGCAGTTAAGGTGAGAAGTGGAGACTGAGGCCAGAGGGCAGTGGGGCATCAGATGACATGGGGCCTTGTGGGGTGTGAGGAGAGAAGTGTGTGGGACAGCAGCAGGAGAGTGGTTGGAGGCTCCTGAGCATCCAGCCTAGAGATGTCACCAGAACCATGGTGGCAGTGACATGGTCACGAAGAATGGTCAGATTCAGGATATATTTTTGAAGGTAGTGCCACACTAGATCTGAGGATTTGGATGCGTTTGTAGAGCAGGGGAAGAATCAAGGGTGACTGTGAGGTGTTTGGCCCGAGGAACCAAAAATACGGTTTGCTGTTTACTGAGACTGGGAAGGCCTCAGAAGCACCAGGTTTTGAGGGGCAGGTCATGAGTTCTATTTGGATATGCTGAATTTGGGGTGTTTATTAGACACCCCTGTTGAGGTGTCAGGTAGGCAGTTGGATATATGAGTGTGGAGCTCCTGGGGGAGGTTGGAGATTAAAATGTGGGAGTCTTCTGTATACAGATGTTATTTAAAGCCATAAATCTGGCTGTGATCTCTCAGGAAGTGTAGATAGGGAAGAGAAGAGGTTCCAAGGTTGATCACTCTAGTGTTGGGGTGTTGAGAAGGAAAACGAGTGAGGATGGGATTCTAGAAAGCTGTCAAGGAGGGGATGATGATCAGCTGTGGCAAATAGGTTGAGTAAAGGCAGGTGCAGAGCCTGACAGAGGGCTCAACCCCATGACCGTGAGATTATAACCTGAGCTGAAATCAAGACTCAGACACTTAACCAACTGAGCCACCCAGGTGCCCGTAGATCTGTCCATTATTGAATGGGATATTGAAATCTCCAAATGTTACTGTTAAATTGATACTTTCCCCCTTAAGTTCTTTCAGGTTAGCATGTCTCTTCAAATTTTCTTAGTTTTCTTTCTCTGAAAATGTCCTTAATTCCATCATTACTTGTGAATCATATTTTCCATGGATGTGCAGTTCCAATTTGACAGTTTCTCCCCCACCCTGAATTACTTAAAGGTTTTTCCTGTAGTCTTCTGTCCTCTGGTGTTCTTTGAGAACCCTGTAGTCATTCAAATCATTTCTCCATTGTAAGTAGTGTGTCTTTTTTTCTCTGATGTCTTTCCACTTTTTCTCATGGTCTTTGGTTTTCAGAAGGTGAATGTAAGTGTTTAGGTATGGTGAGTAGATTCTTAGATTTTAGTAGATTCTGTGTATATTTCATTGAGCTTTTTGAATATGTAAGGTTATGTATTGGTTTCTAAAAACAGGATTAGTTTTTGGCCATTATTTCTTCAAATATCTTTTCTGTCCCATTTCCTCCTCTTTTCTTGGTTACTCTAACTGTATATCAGGGACTGGTAAAGTTTTTCTTTAAAATGACAGATAGTAAATACAGGCATACCTTGGATATATTTTGGTTTTGGCTCAAGACCTCTGCAATAAAGCAAATATCGAATAAAGTGAGTCAAATGAAGTGTTTGGTTTCCCAGTGCATATGAAACTTAGGTTTACACTGTACTGTAGTCTTTTAACTGTGCAATAACGTTATGTTTAAAAATACAGTCGTTAATTTAAAAAAATAGTTTATTGCTAAGAAAATGTTAATCTTCATCTGAGGTTTCCTCCAGTCAAAATCTTTTTGCTGGTCCAGGGTCTTGCTTGCCTCAGTGTTGATGGCTTGGCTTGCTGGCTGATGAGGGTGGCAGTTTCTTAAAATAAGACAACGTTGAAGTTTGCCATGTTGATCGGTCCTTCCTTTCACAGACAGTTTCTCCGTAGCACGTGGGGCAGTTTGATAGCTTTTTGCCCACAGTAGAACTTCTTTCAGCTTTCGAGCCCATCCTCACAAAGCCTGCCGCTGCTTTCTCAACTCAGTTTATGTCGTGTTCTAAATCCTTTGTTGTCATTTCAACAATCTTCACATCATTTTCACCAGGACTAGATTCCATCTCAGGAAACCCCTTTCTTTCTTCATCCACATGAAGCAACTCCTCATCTGTTCACATTTGGTCATGAGAGCACAGTGATTCAGTCCCACCTTCGGTTCTACGTCTGGCTCTCGTTCTCTGGCTCCTTCCACCACGTCTGCCTCTACTTCCCCATGAAGTCTTGAATTCCTCAAAGTCACCCATAAAGGTTGGAGTCCCCTTGTTCCAAACTCCTATTTATGCTGATATTTTGACCTCTTCCCATGAGTCATGGATGTTCTTAATGGCATCTAGGGTGGTGAGTCCAATCTGGAAGGTCTTCAGGTTACTTTGCCCAGATCCATGAGAGGAATCACCATCTATGGCATCTATAGCCTCGTGAAATGCATTTCTTCAGTAGTAAGATGTGAAATTTGAAATGATTCCTTGATCCACAGGCTGTGGAATGGATGCTGTGTTAATGGGCGTGAAAACCGCATTCGTCTCATCGTGCGCCTCCATCAGAGCTCTTGGGTGACCAGGTGTGCTGTCAGTGAGCAGCAGTGGTTTGAAAGGGATCTTTTTTCCTCTCAGCAATAAGCTCTCAACAGTGGGTTCGCAATACTCAGTAAATCATGTTGGAAACAGATGTGTTGCCATCGGCTGTGTTGTTCTCGTCCTAGAGCACAGGCAGTCGATGTAAGCCCAATTCTGAAGGGCCCGCGGATTTTCAGAATGGTACGTGGGCATCGGCTTGCACTTAAGGCACCGGCTGCGTTAGCCCCTGACAACAGCGTCAGTCTTCCTTTGAAGCTCTGAAGCCAGGCATCGACTTCTCTCTGGCGGGGAAAGCTCTGTAGCATCTTGTTCTAACAGAAGGCTGTTTCACCGACACTGAAAATCTGTTGTTTGGTGTAGCCACCGTCACGAATGATCTCCGCTAGATCTTCTGGAGAACCTGCCGCAGCTTCTGCATCAGCACTTGCTGCTTCACCTTGAGATTTTATGCTACAGAGACGGCTTCTTTCCTTAATCCTCACCGACAAACCTCTGCTGGCCTTAAACTTTTCTTCTGCAGCTGCCTCCCCTCTCTCAACCTTCGTAGCGTTACAGAGAGTTCGGGCCTTGCCCGGATTAGGCTTTGGCTTAAGGGAATGTTGTGGCTGGTTTGATCTTTTATCCAGACCACTCAGACTTTTTCCATGTCAGCAGTAAGGCTGTTGGCTTTTCTTTATCATTTGTATGTTCACTGTCCTGGCCCTTTTAATTTCCTTCAAGAATTTTCCTTTGCGTTCACAACTTGGCTAACTGCTTGGTATAGGTTTTGGTTTGTTCTGGCTTTTGACATACCTTCCTCACTAAGCTTAATCATTTCTAGCTTTTGATTTAAAGTGAGAGATGTGTGACTCTTCCCTTCACTTGACCATTTAGGGGTCATTGTGGGGTTTATATTGTAATTGGCTCAATTTCAATACTGTTGTGTCTCAGGGAACAGGGAGGCCCGAGGAGAGGGAGATGGCCACACTGCTTGGTTGGTGGAACAGTCAGAACACACACATTTATCAAGTTCACTGTCTTACGTGATGGGTGTGGTTTGTGGCACTCCAAAACAATTACAGTAGTGATATCAAAGATCACTGATCACAGAACACTGTAAAAATATTGTATTGAAAGATTTTGAAATATTGGGAGTATTACCAAAATGAGACATGAAGTGAACAAATACTGTTGGAAAAATACCACTGATAGACTTGCTCTCTGTGGGGATGCCACACACCTTCCAGTTTGGAAAGGATGCAGTATTTGCAGAGCATATTGAAGCTAAGTAAGTAACATGAGGTGTGCCTTTATTGTAGGCTTTGTGGGCCATGCGGTCTTTATTCAGCTACTGAATTCTTGTAGTGAAAGGAGCCATAGAGAATGAGCAAACAAGGGGTGGCTGTGTTTATTGTAAAACCAGGTGATGGTCCACGTTGACTTGGGGGCCTTAGTTTGCAAATCTCTGCTGTGTAATACGGTCTTCGCAATTTCCCCACTTGACCCTGATGCCCTGGTGTT